CAGGAGACCCCAGTAACACATAAGCTGGGACAAGAGAAGTGATACATATAGCATTACTATGTTATAAAATGAGAATTCTACCCTTTTCCTAGCATTATGCTTTTTCTCTGGCAACCTGGATATTTAGCCTAAATTAACCACACTAAGTGAGCTGGCAGCCTCAGGAAATGGAGCCTTGTTTTTTTCCACTTATTCACGTCAGATATTTCACATTTCCATGGATGTTCACAGCTAATACATAGAATGTTTTAAAAGAACAATGCAGTTTTTATTCTCTCTTAGTGCAGTTTGGGCCATGTATCCCCACCTTGCTAACTGGAGGATTCTGTGTTTATTTTATTTTATTTTATTTTATTTTATTTTATTTTATTTTATTTTATTTTATTTTATTTTTATTTTTTGTTTATTGAATTGGCTTTCTTATTAGGAAGCAAGTTAACTTCTTTGAAGTTTTCTCAGTGGGTTTTCTCCATACAGGTGTCCAACCATGATAGTGTGGTCATTATCTTAACACGAATTAAGACTAATGAGTGAATAAGTGTCTACCTGCCACAACTTGGTTTTATCAAAACCTCATTGTCTCATAAATGAAATATTTGCAGAAAGTCACAAGACATAGTTCTGAATGTCCTCTTGGAGCTTTGTCACCTGAAGAATTATGTACCAATGCTCGTATTCCTGCCATCTTTGAATAAGGCAGAGTTGAAGATCTGGCTCAGTAGGTTCTAACACTGTGGTGTGAGCTTGATGGCACTAAAAATTCAGACCCTGCATTCACCTCACTTTGGGGGGCAGCTGAGAGACTGTGTGACTTGTTGCTACATACTCCTTCTGTAATCAGTCAGGAGTAAAAGGTACTCCAGAAAATGAGCCAATATTTCTACAAAATATTACCTCAGAATCTGTAGGACTAGAAAGAAGTGAGATGAATATTGGCCCTAATTTGCATGCTGAAGGTTTTTGTGTCATCCTTATAAAGATGATCTTGTATTTCTAGAATTGAGTGTAGGATGTACAGAACATGGCAAAATTATGATTGCTTGCATTTCAAAGGGATTAAAAGACCAGAAAAAAAATAGTTCAAGTTTTGGGCAATGCTTAGATTTTTCTATAACATAGTTATCATATTTGATTTAAAGAATGGTATTTTTACCCTTCTTGAGTTACTGTAGGAATTGATTTGGGCTGTTAAGTTGCCCAGAAATGGAGTGATACAGAAATCAGTGGAGTGTTGTGAAGCCCTTTGGAGGTATATTCTGTGCTAAGTTGAAAGTGATTTAGAACTTAAAACATCATGAAGGGGGAAAGCCAATAAAGGAAGGGGACTTTATTAGAGAAAGGCCCACAACACCCTGGTGAACCTTTAGTAAATACAGAGAACACTAATTCAAACATTGGAATTGCCATTAGAGAACCTTTCTGAGATGAGTTGGTGCTAAAAATACAGGCTGTTTGGAAGCTCTTGCCCTGAAGATACATACTCTAGAGATTTGGCAGCTGGCTCCAGCTGTAAACAATGGCAAACCTGCTGCTTCAGACCTATCTTTTCTGGCAAGCAGAAAGGAAATAAAATGGAATCATTCACTGTGATATTTTAAAAATTAATGACAGCTAACTGTAGCTTGTTTGGGGACTTAGATAATGGCAGAAAAACTGTAACACTGCTGGCTAAAGTGCATTTCATAGTGGTTGAGTGTTACAAAAGCACAACCTGGTATGTGGCTGCTTTGATCTAAATAGCAATACTGAGCAAAACTGTTCAGAAGTGTACAGCAAAGGGGGAAGCAAACAGGTTTGCTGGTGTTGGGGGAAAAAATGCAGGGACTGTAAACTCCAAATGTGAATCTTAAATCTTGAAGGAGGCCTAGATATGGAGAACAGAAGTTTCTTTCCAAGTGGTCACAGTGAAATAAAGAAAATAACATTGTCAGTGTGATCAGAGAGATGAATGGTACATTAATTAATAACTTCTGAAATGTGCATTTGTTAGTCACAAAAAAATGAGAACATGTATAGACATGCAGCTTTACAACAGATGGACATTAAGTTAAAGCTGAAATCAGTAATGTTAATTAAAACAGTAGAATGAGCAACTCCATATGATCGTTTTTCATGTAACTCATCAAATGGAGCCATCGTTTTCTGATTAATTTCCTGTTTTTTTTAAGCTGTTATAAATAAGTATTCACTATAATTGACTTTGAGCAACATTGCATTATTTTTTTTCTCAAAAGCAATTATTTGTAACTCCAAAATAGCACTATTAAAAAGAGGACATAATTTTAAGGGGGTACCAATTTTATTGTTAAGCTTTCAGATGAGAGAATAAGAACATTTTTTGAAGCTAGATCATGATGCATTATGATTTATATTTAGTATGGTCATTGTTCTAACTTACTGATACTTGGGGTTTTGTGCTTAGTTTTGTCACGGTGGGTGACAGCTACATCAGAGGTGACAATCTGTTTTCAATATCTCTCAATATCTGTTGAAAGAAGGTTTTGCTGCTAGTTTGAAGTCATCAACATCTCTTCCCTTGGAAAGGAAGCCATATCCTTATTCAGTCCAGCAAAGCAAGGAGTCATTAAGTGGTAGTGACCTGAACCGATCTTAGAGGAATTCATAGAATTTTAGGTATGAGGTATCAGAGATTATATAATAGATATAGATATATAATATAGATATGTGAGATATCAGAGAGATTGACAATCATTTATGTATCATTTACATGTGGTAGTATGTAGACATATGGATTCAAGGAGTGACATGTTAATAAAACAAAAATCCGTTGAGGATCACTAAATCCACCTTCAGCTCAGAAATGCCCTAATCTAAAGGAGGCTGGAGTTTGAATGAATACTAGCTAGCCCTATTCTGAAGCTCTTCTTAGGCATCAGTACTCAACCACAGGCAGAGATAGGTTGAAGAGCCATAGGGACTTCAGCTTTGAGACAGTACTGTTTTTCTGTAAGCCATCTTGGAAATAGGCCTCTAAGAAATGTAGCATATTTAGAATGAGAAGACTCATCATAAGTAAAATTGATCTTGAGTGTGTGTTACTGAGTAAAAGTATATGATGAATACATAGAATCATGGAATGGTTCAGGCTGGAAGGGATCTTTAAAGGTCATCTAATCAAACTGCCCTGCAGCGAGCAGGGACATCTTCAACTAGATCATCTTGCTCAGAGCTCCATCCAACTTAACCTTGAATGTTTCTAGGGATGGAGCTTCTGCCACCTCTCTGGGCAACCCGTTTCAGTGTTTCACCTCATTGTAACGAATTTCTAGTCTAAATCTACCCTCTTTCTCTTTAAAAACATTACCCCTCGTACCTTAAACTTCAGGCCCTGGCGCATATTCAGCCGCTTATCAATCAGAACCCCCATGTCCCTTTCGGCTGGACAGCTTTCCAGTGACTTTTCCCCAAGCCTGTAGCTTTGCATGGGCTTGTTGTGGCCCAAGTGCAGGACTCAGCACTTTGTCCTGTTGAAATTTATACAGTTGACCTCTGCCCATCAATCTAGTTTGCCCAAGTCCCTCTGTAGAGCTTCCTGGCCCTCAGGCAGATCAACACTCCCTCCCAACTTGGTGTCATCTGCACTCTTACTGAGGGTACATTCTGTCTCCTCATCAAGATCATTGATAAAGATGTTAAAAAGAAGTGGTCCCAGCGTTGAGCCCTGAGGAACCCCACTTGTGACTGGCTGCCAGCTATTGTCTTTGCTTGATGGCTAAATTTCTAATGTGCCAGGTGGGAGTTTTACTCACGGAAGATACATTACTTCTACATAGTCGATTGTATCATCAATTTACTTTATTCATTCTTTTGGAAGAAATCATAAAGAAAAACTGTGACATTTCAATAGACAAACACCTTCTCATATTTATTTTTTTTTTTTCATTTTTGAACAGAAATTACTGAAATGAAAATAAATATTCTTGGACATAGCTTTTCTCAGCATAGCATATGAAGTACAGCCATATTTCTTATTCTGTAACATATAACTTAGTGCAGGATAATCCCACAGATCTCTCCATCCTCACAGCTGGTATGATATTGGAAAGATAACTTACAAGCTTCTACAAAAAGAATTTCTCCTAGGTAATGGTGAAAACTATTAACTGAGATTTGGATCTTCAGTTGAATTTCTCTCTTATTTATTTATGTATTTGTTTAGTTATTTTTGTCTTGTTATGTAACATTAACCAGGAGGCATTATCTTTTCTTAATGTCCTAATCTGTATGAAAAGATTAATGAGAAGTAGGGATTTTTTGGAAGTTATCTTGGGTTGTTAGTGAATCTCCTTAGCTATGTGAGAATCTCTCTCTCTCTCTATATATATATATCTATATAAGAATCTGCCAAGCACGTTTCTTACTCACCTTTATTTTTACTTAGGTCCTGAATTTGCCTGAAGTTAGTAAGGATTCCAGATACAAAACTAATACACTCAGAGTTCAGAACAGAAAAGAACTTATTGACATATTGTCAAGCCGGTAAGTTAATTAAAAAGGAATAAATTACATTTAATGTATTAATGTGAATAGTCATGCATAAGAAGCTCTCATCATGTGAAAATTTCACCTTAATCTTCTTGAGATACTTTTATTAAAAAAGAAAAAGAGTATTGAGACTACTTATTGGTGTTAAATACACTGCCTTTTGCACAGAGACTGTGGTGTGGACTAGCAAGAAGCCAGGCCTGAGATTTAAATTTTTGAAAGACCATTTGAACTTATTTTTAATCATTAACTTGAATTTTAGTGAAAACAACTAGTGCTTTTTGCCTTTCTGGATGAATCTAACTCCTGGAAATAAAATACTTGGTGCACCGTTTGCTTCTGCTGTGACTGGAATGTTAAAGTTTTCACTGAGAGTTGCTGTATCCAAGGGAGTTCCACTTGATGCTACTCCCTCACTGCTGGTTCTGTATTGTGGTACTCTGTGTCCCAAATTCTCAGTCCTTTTGAAATCAAACGGAATATACTTAGTAGTCTATGTGGGAATCATCCTATCAAATACTTTTATTAAATCATTTAATTAAAATTAAATCGTTTTATTGAAAATTATTTAAGAGAAAGCTCAGGAACCCTTTATTTGAGACATTAATCCAACTTATTTATCTTCCACATTCTGTTTGAGAAGGCCTTATCTCTGTGGAGTGCCCTTTTTTTTAGTGGAGAGAATATAAGTATATGTAACATAAGGAAAAAAAATTAAATCTTATGTAAAGCTACCCAAAGGTGGTTTCAGCAGCACTTCATACTTTGGAGGACAAGCAGAAAAGGTGGTATATCTATTGTTGAAAATGATTCAAGGAAAGTCACACTACCATTTTGACATGTGGCCTGTAAGGGTCTTCATGAACAAATGTGCAACAATTACAATTCAGGAAATTTTTTGTGGTGTTTCTTTTTTAGTAGCATTAAGTCAGATGCTCCTCCTTTCCACTCCATTTGAGAAAAGTTTCAGTTGCACACCCCTCCCCATCTCTCAACCCCACACGTTATTAAGTAATGAGAACCAGTCTATTAAAGACTGTAGAGAGAGTGATTTTGCCTCTTCCTGTTGCACTTTTGCCTCTCTCTTAGCTGTCTATTTTCAGGTGTCCTGCCCCTCATGAAATACTGAAGTATCAGGTGACTTTGCATTTTCAAATAATTATGGTACAACTGTTAATGCAGAACTTTTGAAACTTGTCTTTTACTTGCCTTCCTATAACAAGTGTAGTGTGATAGCACAGATGAAGCCACTCTTCCCATAAATTTTAAGCCCTTGAAAGGGAGTTGACATCTTTTGGCCTACTTTTGAGCTATTACATTATTCACAGTTAATCTTACTTTTAAAGTGAATTCATGTTGAATTTTTACTTGGAGTTAATTCCATTTAATATGGCCTTTAGCTTATGTAGTCTGGTACCTTATGAGAGTGCTGTTTTGCCATCCACAGATCAATTAATAGTTTGTTGCTTGTGGTTAATTTTGAGTGCAAGAGTTTTTATGGCTAGTATCTGAATAAGAAGCTGAAGTTCAAGGAACAGTTATCCTGTGAATGAATTGCCAGAATTTTAATTTGTTTTTATATCTAGCTATTAGTTCATCAGACTATATCAGTGCTCGTTCAATTACTGCTTTATGTCTTTTTTTGTCAGAGTTTATTTTCTGTTTTAGCATCATTTAGTCTGAATTTCTGTGTAATTTATAGGCAAGTATGTGACCTGTACACACTTCTGGAGTAGACTTTTCCAATACTGTTCTGCTAGGTCATATTATTGTGAATTCATCTGGCATTCAGTTTTAAAACCCTGACTCTAGCAAACACCTTTGGCATTCTAATGGAGGTCAAATACGTTTCCATACACATTCCATGGTAACTTTGCTTTTATTCACTAATGCACAGTTGTTTGTAAAATTATATGTGGTTCGTTTTTCAAGTTACTTAGAGAATTAAATGAATAGTTTCTCAGTGCTGAAAAATGTCAGCCCTTGAGAAATGAAGGGAAATGACAAAATAGTAATGGCAGAATTTAACTGAAAAATACTGTAATTAAATCAGTGATTGCTTGATAGTATTGCAGCTTCCAGCACATGGAAAATATAAACCTAAGGTGCATTAGTTGGAAAGAAACACCTGCAGACCCTCTTACTCACTCACTATATGTACACTTCTATTCACCTCACAATGAATTTGTGGAGACATGAGCTGGAGCAGCTTAGAGGAGTTGTGATTTTCTTGACATGTGCTCTACTGTAGCCACTTTTGTTGAGATGAGACCCTCCTATGTGTGGTAGAAGGCAAAAAAGAACATGAAAGTTCCTTATAGATTTAGTCAGTCCATTCATTCATGTCTCATTTTGATTCTGTGCCAGGCAGGTTGGGTCCAACTGGAGGCAAAGCAGCCTTTTTCCAGTGATGTTGCAATGGAAGAAGTCAGCAAACTTGCATCTATGTATAGGAATATGATGATTCCTAAATGTTGCTTCTCTTTTGTGCATGCTTGAAAACCAAACCTGCTTGAAAGCATAAATGGGAATTATGATCCTGTGGTGAGAGTGTCACTGCTAAAAGTACATGGGAGGAAACAGAGTGTGTTTTGCTCCCTTTACTCCAACCTCTGCCATTTTCAGTTTATACATCCTTCCTCTTCCACCAAGTCACTGGTATCTTAAGCATAATTTTTTCAGCAGATACTTGGTACTCTGCAGATGCTTGCATTTATCACTATTGCACAGTACATATATCCATGCTATTTTTTCCAAGCTGTTCAGGCTGTTATAGAGCTGAGGTCCCACCAGAACCTAGAGTAGGCTTCCATTGACCTAGCTAACCTGTCTCCTTCCTCCTATCTCATTTGAACTATTTCCGGAGCTATGACTTAGCTTTTTTCCCCCTCTGTTTCTTACTTTTCAAAATGGACTAACTGCAATTCATGTCTAACTTCTGAACACTTAATAAATGCAGGAAGAAGGATTCTTAGCCTCCACCTCTGAATGAAAAGGATTTCCCAGCTTTTATTTAGGAATAGAAGATGTTCAGACCTACTCAAAGGGTCAGGAACTCCCTGAAGTCTTGAGCATTTAATTTGCTGCATGTGTGGAGCTGAAATTTTTAAAAACATCTGAACTCTGAATACCAAGGAGACAGTTGATGCCTTTCATTTGCTAGGGTAAATGTGAAGCAGTTGAGACTCTGGCCACAGTTTTATTCTAGATGTGTGCACAAAGGAAACATTGGTACAAGCAGTCAATGTTAAGGAATGCTATGTTTTAAGAAAAGGCTTTATCTTGGGAATTCTTGACTCAAATGACCTCCAATTTAGATCAATAATTCCACTCACCACCTGCAGTAACCATACTAGATTTCAAGACAGCTAGATAAGCATGGGGATTACATAGCACTTAGAAGAAATTGACCTTTAAACGGAAGACTTTTCAGAAAGGTGTGAAATTACCTATTCATCACAATCAGATGTCCTGAGCTGAGTGAGAATACAAGATGGAGATGAATATGGCTTGAGACGTAAATGTAGTTTGAAACAATAACTCTGAGAGGTGTGAATTGCTCCATTCATTTCAGAAATTAATCATCCTCTCTCATCAGAAATCTCAACCTCTCTCTTCCCTGACAGAAAGGATGAGTGAAGCACATCTCTCCTTAGCTCTTCAGCCCAGCTTGCTGTCTGCTTACCACATCTGTAGAGTACACATGAAAGAGAGAAGTGGAGAGTCAGTAGGGGAGGATAAATTCACATATGCACATAAATTGTCAGATCTCAGTAAGAAGAAACTGGAAGGTAGACCACTCTGGAGTGTTATGCTGCTTCTGAGAGACCCAGCTCCCATGTTGAGTTAAGATGAGGGAACTACAGAAATCAGATCCAGACAACTTGAGAGGAGGAGTGTTTTTCAATTCCATCTTCTATGGGGAAATGAGTACAGTGCTGCAAGAACTACTGGTTCATAGAATGTTCACAGGTAAGAAGAACATAGGCCTATGGGGTATTTTATGCTTGTTCTACTACTGGTGGTGATATCCGTTTCCCATCTCTGGTCCTCTTCCTGCTATGCCCCTTTTCTCCTGCCTCCATCATCTTCCACTTCCTACTGCTCCCCCAGCTTCTTATTTCTTCTTTCTCCTCCTACTGCTGGTATGTGCAGATTGACTATATTTGCTTCACAGAAAAGGAAGTTTCGATGACTTTTGTATCTTCCTCTTTATTTAGGTGACATTTTTCCCAAATGACCACAAAGCAGAACTCTGACAAATGCAAATTGCCTCTGAATGCCTCCCTTTCTTGGGTGTGTGCCAAGAGTCAAATTTAAAATGACCCTACCTGGGTGGAGGTCAGGTTCAATGGCTACTATAGAGGCCCCTGAGACTCCCAGTTCATGTGAGAACTGACAGACTACAGAGCACTTTGTTTTTTACATTTCCAGTGAAAACCTCTGGTTTGTGAGTTAGATATACATCTATCCATGAGAACTAGGTTTAGATTGTTGCTTCCTTTCACTTTTACTATTGCTTCCTTTGAATCAGAACAGTACCAGGTACAATGTGGATTATTTTATATATGTGTGCATGTACATACATATGTGTATATGTGCACATGTATGTCAAGACATACATATATAGTGTGTGCATGTAATTTGAAATGCATCTGTGCAAAGGCTGGTATAATGCCTGTTTCAAGAAAAGCAGTTTTGGGGAAGGGGACTTGATCTGTTGACCTTCAAATTACTCCAGACGTTGAGTGTTAATCCTACCCTGCACCTCAGTAATGTCGATATTTTAAGGTAGTGCAGCTAAGTGTGTAATCCAAAATATAAATGGAGCAGAGTTTGTAGAGTTGTTATGAGGGCAGGAGGAAAGGCAATAACAGACAGGCCATCAGCCTTTACAGTGCAGCAGCTCACTTACTGAAGAATGCATAAATTCATCATAATTAGTGCTCCTGCAGCTATAGCTAAATTATTGTAGACTTAAAATCAGAAGTGTG